ATTATATATATATATATATATATATATATATATGCATTTTATATCTTATATTTTATATTTGTTTTATATTTACTATTTCTTATTATAAATTACGAATATACATTATATATATATATATATATATATATATATATGCATTTTATATCTTATATTTTATATTTGTTTTATATTTACTATTTCTTATTATAAATTACGAATATACATTATATATATATATATATATATATATATATATGCATTTTATATCTTATAATGTATATTCGTAATTTATAATAAGAAATAGTAAATATAAAACAAATATAAAATATAAGATATAAAATGCATATATATATATATATATATATATATATATCCTAATCTAAAAAAATATTCTTAATGATAAATTTTTTAATTTTTATTAAAATAAATAAAATATATTTAATAAAACATATGTTAATACAAAAAGAAGAATTTTTTTTTTTTTTTTTTTTATTATTAGAACATATAGATGCATTAGTTGTAATAGAGAAGTGGATGATGTTTTAGTTTTATCATGTAAACATTTAATATGTCTCGTTTGTGCTAGTTTACAATTACAAGAAAAATATGAGAAATTTTTGAAAGAATTTTCGAATAAAAAAGAAATAAATGAATTGGAAAATTATAACATAAATCAATGTTTTATTAATTCTAAAAGTACAAAAAAAGCAATTAATAATGAAAAAATAGATATGATTTTTAAAAAAGAAAAATTAAGTTATATTACTTGTTTTATATGTGATATAAAAAATAAACTTACCATAGAAACAATTGAAGTATTAACAAAAATTGGTTTAATTTCTTCTAACGTTTTAAATATTCACACTTTATTCTTCAATTCAAATAAAAATGCACAAAATAAAAATATTGAACTTAAAGAAGAATATATTAAAGAAATGGCAATACAATTGAATGACACTTTTAATAGTGATTATATGAAAAATGAAGATCTAAAAAAATTATTGATATCAAGTAAAAAGTACAATTATATAGATGAACAAATTGATGATTTAAATAAATATTCTTATATATGTAATATCTGCTCATTTAATGAAGCAGTAATATATTGTAAAGATTGCGTAGAATACTTATGTAAAGAATGCTGTAATAATATTCACGAATTAGATATTTTAAAAAAGTTAAAAATGAAGAATCATAAAACTCATGATTATTATGATATAGATAAAAAAGTTGTTAATCTTAAAAAAATAGTTAAGGAACCAAAGAAGTTCTTAAATATAATGCAAGAAGATATAGAAATAATAAATGATACGAATGAAGAAAGTTTTAATGAAAAAGATTTTAAAAGTAATTGCAAAATTTATGATGATGATTCAGATTTTGATAATTATGATGAAAAACATTTTTATGAAAGACAAAAACGATTTATAGAAAATGAACTAATAAAAAAAAAAAATATAACTATTTCAAATAATTTGAATAATTTAGTGGAAGATATGAAAAATGGGAGCAATTATGAAAGTGAGAATTCTTCTATTAAAGGTACAATAGGATCAGCTTGTGAGGCAAATGTAAATTTAATAAACATAAAAAAAAAAAAAAAAAAAAAAAAAAAAAAAAAAAAAAAAAAAAAAAAATGACGAAAATATATAAAAAATTAAATAGTGAAAATGATATTTTACAAATAAAAAAAAAAAAAGAAAAAAATAATGACCTAAATGATAATAATGAAGAGAAAGGAGATATATATCGTCTTACAAACAAAAGTGCATCTACTATATCAAGTGATGAATCCATATATTATAACTCAGATAAAGAGATAGGTATAACAAATATTAAAAATGTTTTAAATAATAATTTAGAAAAAACAAATGAAAATTCCATTAATAATAAAAATTTTACATCAATACAAAATATTAGGTGTCATCAACATTTTAGTTATCCTATCCATTACTTCTGTCACACATGTTGTACTAAATGTTTTTGTTCAGAGTGTGCTATTAATGGAAGTCATACTAATAATTGTAATATTGAAAATATAAATAATGCTTTTATAACAATTTTAAACAAATACTTAATTAAATGGAATGAAATAATAAGTGATTTAATAAATGATTTAGATAGAAATTTTTATGAATCCCTTGAAGATACTAAAAACGAATGGTCATTATTATTAAGCGAATGTTATTGTGATTTAAATAGTAAGGTAAGTTATATAGTTAATAATTTATCTAAAAAAGAAAAAGAAATATTTCAACAATTTGATTCTTATATGGAAAATTTCAAAAAAGAAAATTTAGAATACATAGAACTTTTAGACTCTAAATATGAAGATATTGAAAAAACAATAAATTTGATTAGAGATAACAAATTTCAAAATAATCCAATTAATATAATTAAATTTTATCGTAAAAATATAAATTATATAGATAAAACTATTTTATTAAACGATAATTTTAAACCAATAGAAAATTTATCAAAAATTAGAGAAAGTAAAATTTTTTATATGGATTTATACGCCTCTCAAATAATGAGTTATTTAAGATATTTACAATCATTCTTAAATCAGAATAATTTAATAAGTTCATCGTAAAATAATTTATACTATGATTTTAAGGGAAACTTTTGTTTAAAGAAAGAAAAATTATATATTTTTCCTTTATTATAAATAGTAAGAATAAACATTTTGATACCATTTCACTTTTTGCATTACTACAACTTCACATACACATTTATATTTATTTGTCTAATATTAAATCTTTATTTTTTTATTTTTATTTTTTTTTTTTTTTTTGTTTTACGTGATTTTTTAGAAATAATAAATTTAATAAAATTATTTATAATAAAAAATAAAATTTGTTTATGTACTATTCTACTTTTAATTATTAAAATAAAGTTTTGAAAACATATCTTTTTTTTTTTTTTTTCATTATTTTAGATTTTTTTTTTTTTTTTTTTTTTTTTTTTTTATAA